GGAAGTCAAGAGATGTCCAAAAGTGGTTAATTGTAGAAAAAATTCATAAAACGTATGCATTTATTACCCTATTCTCTTTGGCCACAACAGAATATCAGTGCTTTGCTATTTTGGGGGCGATGCAATAAATTGAGTTGTGGCCATTTTGTATTGTTATGACACACGCACAAAAAGAAAAATTGTACTTGGCTTTATGTATTTTTTTTCAAACATTTCTCTTGTCTCGCTTTTTATATCTGTTATAATTTGTGTGCTGTAAGTAATGCAAATAAATTATCTATCTATCTATCTATTTTATATGCTCCATAGAGTATATTACTAATTTTAGTATCAGAAACCAAGCTATTAGTATTTGCGTATCAAAATATTATTTCTGCTTGTGATTTATCGTATAGATGAGTTTTTACTATAGTTTAATACACATCTCAGTACATCAGTACTACATGCAGTTTATAAGCCGTTAAGGTCAAAGACTACAGTGAAAGTGATTATCGACCCGCACTATCTACTGGCTGTAATAAAATTTGAATAATATCCATTTATTTTATAACTGCACACATATAAAATTATATAATAGCGTTTTATTATTATGGACGTTGGTTTGTGTCAAGGTTAACATTAAATATTATTGTGTTACGCGTGTTAAAATAGATTAATTTGAACCTTACATTACAATGGTGTTATTCATATTTATAGCTATGCAGTAGTTTGGTATCTTGATGACAATTTAGGTATATGAAAATAAAAAAATTATAACCTTTAGATAGCAACTAATAGGCAAATATAGCATACTAGTTTTTTTGTAAAACATGTAGTTTGAAGCATATACAACTAACAAATAACACCTGAGTCCTCAGGAATGGCAACGCATGGGAGGTATCATGGGCGAAACAGTATACTAGCAGTACCATAGACACAACAGTATAACTGTTGTGTCTATGGTACTGCTCATGTCTATAGGCGACGGTTACCATTTTCCATCAGGTAGCCCGTCAGCTTGTTTGACATTCTAAGTCGCATAAAAAAAACCGAATATGTAACCATGTTTAATGTAAATAAAGAATCGGAATCTGTAATACAAAATTTATTACTTTTATATACATATTAAAAATAAAAGCGTGTCTAAAAATACAAAATAATAATTTTAATTAAAACAAAATATGTTAATATTCTTAAGAATTATCATTTCATGTAGATTGCTAGTTCCTTTTTCTTTGAACTTGGCTGGAAACTCTGTTGCGTGTCCTATATAAGGAAAATGTAATAAATAAATATCAATATTTAGATCAATAAATAATTATAATAAAGTATCATTATTACTGCTTGTTTTGTTTCCTATTAATTTGAAGTAAATACAATATGCTTTTTTTTCCACAAACACCTGTCAACACCATATTATGGTAGTGCTATAATATCATTATAGCACTTCCACCATCATCACTTTTTTACACATACTGTACATAATTGTGAAAATTTATTCTGTCACTTTTATCACTATATATCATCTACATATCAAGGTGGTCTTGTCACTAAAATTAATGAACATTCACCTTGTATCGTTGAACTCACTTGGATTTTAACGACTGCTCGAGTCTACTGAATGGTATTGCAACACGCTTAATCACACGCTTAATGCCTAGACTGTTAATTGAAGCTAGAAGTTCGTGGAATCCAAAATAAACATGCTTTAAATGCCAGTCAGGTGCTTTGAGAGTTTAAATTGTTGTATGTAGGGCAGAATAATCGAATCGATTGAGCGGTCACTCCTGATGGCCGTCTCATTCTATCTTCTATTCGTCACCAGTAATCAATACTGGTGGTCTCGTTTCATTCATTCATTCACTGCCAGAGATTTTACTATTGGCATTTTTAAGTATATTTACAAAAAAGTAGAAGGTGTTCAATATATTATTATTTTTTATGTAAACATAGGTGATAAATCACCTCAACTAATTTGAAAATTTTTTTTTGATCTGAAAGGACATACTTTCATATTGGTTTAACAGAAATTTAATCTGTAATAAATAAATAACTGTTTTGCCACGGTTGAAATCTTTTTTTTTTGTGGAAAAAACCTTCTTGTTACTTTATTTATTATAATTATTTCACACTAACGCTAGCCTGCGGCTTTGTTTGAGTGAATTAAAATAATTAATAGAATCAAATACAGCGTCTGATTTAAAAGTCTGAGAAAACCGAGATAAATTTCGTCTATGAACCATAAATTAATGTCCGACGTCGCTGCAAGCTATTACGATGTGGACTAGTGTAGTCTTGTTGGATAATAGTCATTAAATGGAGCACACAAGATTTTAGCTTACATCACAAACCGGAAAGAGTATGCGGTTGTTATGATTCGCACAAAATACACTTACCATTACTGTACCGCTATCTTAAGTGACTTCTTGAAAGTTTTAAATACCTATAATGTTTCTCTTTTATTCGTTTTCTTAAAATGTTTATTGTGAATATTAGTTTTGACCCGTGATTTCCTCTGCGTGACAAGGTTATATCAAACTTCATAATTAATAATCATAGTATTGGTACACATGCACCATTTGGGATGATATAAGACATGAAATTAGATCAATCATTATAAAATTTCGGAATTTGGAAAATTATTTTTATTTATTCTTTATTGTACAATAAAATTTTGTACAAATGGCGAGCTTAATGCCATATGGCATTCTCTACCAGCTAACCATTGGGTAAAAACAGAAAGCGTATGAAGGGCAGATGTGGTGAAAAATATGTGACAATTATAGTAACACATTAAACCAATACACAATATAAATATAATATACACATTAGAAATGCACATATAATACATAAACATTACTTTTAAAAATAACCTTTTGATGCTCTGCGTATTTAATATTTGTAAGGATTGTCTTTGGTAAAAGAAGTTGGACTACCCCATTAGGGGTTCGATCGTGAGCATACATATATTTCTTTTTTATCATAATTATTATTGATATTCCATTTTCAAAAAACAATTTAGATTGTTGAATAACCTGTCACTCATATCTAATTACTTATTTTAAACCTTCTTAGTTGAACTTATTCTGGTTCAATTTTTACCAAATATATGCAAAGTAAGATCGAGATTTACTGTTTTTTTTTTTTAATAATTTCTTGAATCAATTAAGCAGCGAGGTCAATGCTGAGTAGTTTCTGGTTTTTCACTAAAACTTGATGTATTTAATGGTCAAGAGTACAAATTCATATTACATTTAAAATAACCTAATACTGTGCTAAATAGTTGTGGTTAAAACCCGTCAAATATATACTAAGCGTATTCAATTATATTTATTTATTTATTCATTATTGTACACAAAAAATTACAACATATAATATATATAAAATAAAGATGTACAACAGGCGAGCTTAACTCTGTAAGGGTTCTCTTTCAGCAAACCCTGAGTGGAAAGGAGCATTAATTACTAGCGAGCAATATGCGTACAATAAAAGAAGGAAACATTATAGATGTTTCTATTTAAAAATAAAAATTACAATCCTATTTATTTGCTAATTGGTTAAATTTATAATTAATTTTACATTACTAGTTGAAGTATTATTCTAAATATTTATTTACAAATAACAAGAAAAAGTAATTAAAAATTTTAAAAATTATTTAAAGATAAAAAATTTCTGTGAGATCACTGCCAGCTGGTAGGGTGCCTAGGATACTTGCTGCATTTCCACGCTGAATAGCGTGGAAATGCAGCAAAAATAATAAATTAATAATTAATATTATATATTAATTATATATATTAAGCGTAAAACCACCGTGAAAAATTTAAAATATTTTATAACTATGTATTGTAACATTAGGATGGACACATAGTTTTATTCGCCTATTTCGTAAAAAAAAACCTATTATGAATAATAATAGATAAATATAGTTTTTTTTAATTTCTAAACATTACATGTAATTATGAAAAATAAATCCTATAATAGAAATACAATTTACTTTCATAAATTTACTCTCAGAACTGTTGCTATATTGGGTTTTAGTTTCTACATTACTCTATCTATATATTTTGTTGCATAGTCTTGTATTTTAGAAGCAATATCACCCTTTAATTATTGGTGGATATTGTAGTGTTATTTTCTATCTATATACAAAATTCTCAATGACTGATTAACATAGTTAAAACAGATAATTGTAAAACAACATTTTGTTTCCAAAGCAATTAGAGATACGTGTGCTCAATTGCGATATCGTGGAAAACAGCTTATATATCATTAGAATTTAATATTTTATGACATCGCCGTGTGATCACGGCATAGAATAGGCCACCTATTCCTTTCCCGTGGATATAGTAAGAGTCGACTAAGGGATGGCGATGGATAAGCAGAAACGTCCCTCATAAAACATCTCCAAAAGCTTTTTTTTTATACAACTTAGAATGGCAAACAAGCTGACAGCCCACCTGATGAAAAATGGTAACCGTCGCCTATAGACATGAGCAGTACCATGGACATAATAGAGTATACTGTTTCGCCCATGATACCCCTCATGCGTTGCCATTCCTGAGGACTCAGGTGTTATTCCTCTGTACCCAGTAAATTCACGCCATATCCCACCCTTCAAACCAAAACACAGCCCTGCAAATACAACTGCTTCACGGTTAAAACACGAATAGGACAGAGGTACCCAAGCAATCGACTTTTATACAAAGTCTCCCTCTGGTAAGTCTGCCTAACTGCGGTTGCCAACCTGCCTGCCACACGTGACAACTTCCGGCAAAATTCCCCTTATGGGGAAGGTTTATGTTCAGCAGTGGACAGTTAACGGCTGAAAATAATAATGTTATGACAAAATATATCTCCTAGCGTTCAACACAGATCTAATATAGTGGAGGAAACTGGTCTTTGCTTCTGCAAACTTGAATAACTTGGTGCCTGGTGATTGAGCAGTTTAGTGATAGTGAAGTGGTGTGGGTGAGGTGTCGGTGTGTGTAGTGTAGTGTAGTGACATGTGGATATGTGTGCAGGACTCGGAAGGCGAGCAGCAGACCAGAGACAAAAGGAAGTTCGAGGCGGTGGCACAGTCTAAGTTCGGCATCAAAAACGCCATCCTGGGCCTTGTTTTTGGAGTGAGTAACTTTTACATTAACAGGTTATATATCTATGTTATTGGTATCAAATAATCATCTTCGTCTTGTAGGGCATCAACTCACTGATCGACGCGAAGACAAGACTGGTGGACAATTTGGACAAGAAAAATATTGAAATAAACAAGCAATACGGCATTGAGACGCCACAAAACGGAGTTGGAGGTCTCGTTGGTGCCATTGGACAAGCTATCCAACCTAAGCTACAGTTGATAGGACCCAAGATCCAAACTGTGACGTCACTGCTCGGTGGTGCTTCTGGAGCGTCAAGTGGACAAGGTGGGGGCGCCAGCGGTGGTGTGGGCTCGTTCGTCAATCTTCTAACGTCTCTCGCAGGCTCGTCGTCAGGTTCTTCATCAGGCGGGGCCAATGCTGGAGGAACTGTTGAAACTGTCGACTCCTCAGAGGAGGATAGCTCGTGATCACTCAAATCCTTTAATTACACTACAGCACTCGATATCGATGTAACCTTTTCCCTTCACTATACATAAATTATGTATAAAATAAGTTTTAATTTGAGAGTGCTAGGAGTAACCGAATTACAAACTGAGACTAACATTGTTTCGAAAGGTTTACTTGCCATACTGTATTGGTATTTAATTGCATATTACATATTTCGAAACAATTATAGTCCTTATTGCAACCTTTTTGAGTATCTTTCAAAAGATTCGCCTATATTCGGTTCGCAATCATCGTTTCGGTAAGGTGGTATTAGTCATATTATAAAGTTGTCTATACACACTACGATTTAACACCCGATTGGCCAGGCCAACATGTAGGGTCAGAAGTGAGTCTCGACTGCAATTTGCAATGTCGGCTCGTCTGATTAATTAATGTACATGCCCAGTAATAGTCAACTCGACAAATCAGCCCGACTAATCGAGTATCAAATCGTGTCGTGTGTATTCTCGCTTTAAGTCTGTATTAGGATTGTTTCGTCGTATTAAGGGTGTACAATTCGACGTAAAATTTATCGATATCGAGTGTAATAGTATATTTATACATACACTCCTTTTCCTAACCTAGTTATTTCCTTACGCTGTACAGTTCATGCGGCCAATTGCACTCTCATTTTTGTATTTATATTGTAAATAGTTTTAGGTGAACGCTGGTGATATTAAACGTTTCCTTCAAATTGTTGTTTGTTTGCACTGCACCTATTATTTGGCACACTCCCACTGATTTTATCGATGCTAGTAGATTTTACACTCGTAGTGAAAGGAAACTTGATTGTCGTGATTAGGGATGTACTGACATTCGATTAGATTATCGGTAGAATTTTGGATTTTTTTTTATTAAAATTCACCTAATCACGATAACTTATTTTTGCTCCTTTCATAACTAGACTGCTGTTGAATAGTTGCTTATTTTAAATTGTTATGTTTTATTATACACCAAAATATTTGTAGATATTGCAATTTTATATTGTACACAAATTTGTACAACGACTGTCTTATTGTATATATGCATGTATTTTTAGTATATGCAATACAATATGAACATATTATTATTAAAGCTTCAAGGTAAGTATATTTATCCAATCGGCTTTATTTGGAAGCACGTATGTACATAATACTTGAAAAATTAAAAATCATGTATGGTAATAAATAGTTTGCAAAAAATAAAATAGAAATATGTCAGGGATATCAATTGGCATTTATACTCAAAATTATTTCCTTCTGTTATTGAGAAAACGAGCTAAGTTGCTCTTGACGGTCTGGAAAACAACGCAATTCCTCTCAAAAATTTACCTAAAACTATATCATAAAAGAGTTTAAAATTTTGATTTCAAATTGTAGAAATCAATACAAACTTTGTTTATGTTATACAAAAGCACTTTTTAATAGTTTTTTGCAATTTCAGATAGTTATCAGTTAAAAAGTCTTAAAAATAGTTATTTTATTGTTTATGTAATAAACATCCTTCTAATAATAGGCCTACCTTATAGATTATCAAAAAGAATGACCTTGAGATATCGAAAAATTTACTAATTTATAATTTATTGGAAAATACTAATACATATCTTGTCTGATATCGTCTTATGATGTGTGTATATGATGATCTTCTATGATCTCCATTGATATCATTATCATATCAGCCCTTATCTGTCCACTGCAAAACGTTGGCTTCCCCTTTGGAGAAGAGTTAGTAACTACAGTTAAGCTTTAGTGATGTTTTAAGAGGGACGCTGCTACCCATCCCTCGACCATTAAATTCCTTTAGTCGCCTACGACACCAACGGGAAAGAAAGGAGTGGCTCAATCTATTCCGGGACTATACGGCACGCTAACATGGTACTTTAATATATTATAACTGTTATTTTGTAGCCGGAATTTTTTAAATTTCAAACCACTTAATTTTGTCTAAAACCGCGTATAAATAATATCTATCGATATAATTACGTCGCATCCTTGATTCTGAAGATAATATATAATCATCAACATCATATCAGCCTTTAACTGTCCACTGTTCAAATTCAAATTCAAATTCAAATTCAAATTCAAAAATCATTTATTCATGTAGGACATTTTAGCCGCTTATGAACGTCAAATTTTTACATTATAATTTTATATTTTCCCTACCGTCCAGTTCGGTATATAGATCCAATTGAGAAGAACTGGCAAGAAACTCAATTGAATTACTTTTTTTTTTAAAGCCAGTTGAACAATAGCCTCCCGCTTGGGAGGTTTTGCCAGAAGTTGCCACGCTTGGCAGGCAGATTAGCAACCGCAGTTAGGCTTTGAAGATGTTTTAAGAGAGACGCGGCTGCCCATCCCTCGGCCTCCTTTAGTCTGACTCTTACGACATCCATGGGAAAGAAAGGGATGGCCTATTCTATGGCAGGACCACACGGAAAGATAATATACAATGCTTATATAAATCTCTCTGTTGTAAATATTTTTGCCTAATTTAATATTATTCTTTACACATTCGACTTTTACAAGTACAATTAAAAATATTAAATAAGACTACAACAATATTTTTATAGCTTTACATAATAATATGCCATACTGCTTAGTCTTTTTCTAGTCTTGCTTTCTATATACATAGAACTCTTATTATAAAATTATATATATTCAGACGATTACGATCTCAGATAAAGTCAAAAAAGGAGAATTTTATATCATTATTAATTGAGTACATTTGTAAATAATTCACATTGTAAAAGTTCTAAATATACATTTTTATATTCTTCTCTATATTCTAGTCGACACTGCATAATAGAGTTTTTTTCATTTTATTAGTATATTTTTTTAAATATTTCCATCTGTCTGTACATTCTCGTTAGAATTTTACAGATAAAAAGGATGATGTAATATATGTAGGTATGTAAAATAGAATTTTTATAGGTATATATATATATTTTTTTTGTTTATAAAAAAATATTCTATATTACTAATAATCAGTACTGCGTAAAAGTGGATAGATAGCTTTTCATATAGAGATATATATTCATTTACATACATCTTTATATAAAAAGCTATATTTGAATCGTTAGTAAATGTTTTAGAATTTTTTATATGAATCTAGGTATTTAGAATTTAGTTACACTTTAATATTATCGCCTCACACTAGCCTCATTTATTCATAATGAATCAAATACCTACACACAAATGTTTAAACAATAATCATTAAGTTTTTAGCTATTTATTATCTTGCCATATTATATTATATATGAACCTATTAATTTTAAAAATATAAAACGTAAAAACTTTTTTTATTTTGGTAAGAATCCAATAGCCTAACAAGCAAAATAACCGATTTAGAACTTTAACTAAAATATAATGAAACAATGAATAGAAATCAAATCGCAACCTTTATATAATCAAACTATATTCAACAAACTACGTTTATATATATACATATAATAATATAATTAATATGATATTATTTCACAAACTACATAAAAAAAAAATTTCATCAACATTATGCTAAATTTATTACAATATCGTCCTCGAATATTCTAGAACGGTTAAGTAAGTAGCGAATGTTTCCACTTTACATAATAATAAATAAGAATAAAACATTTGAAAAATAATTAAATCATTGTGCAGTTACATTTGACATCAGAATGGGCTGATTTTTTTTTCTTATAAAATTCTGGTGTTAACAGTATATATTTAGTCATTCACTTAGAAGACTGCTTTGCTTAATGATAAATAATTGTTTTCTAGTTATTTGACAAGCACTTTTAAACATATCATCAGATTATCTTTACGAGTAGTACTTTAGAACTCATCACTTTCGGGTTTTGTAACGACACCTCATTGAAAATCTCCAATCTCACAGTATCTGGTTGTATACTCAGTAGTACTAAGTAGTTAATTTAGTTAGCACCACTCATCATAATAAATTAATGTTCATTAGTTGCTTTTTGTTATTTTATGTGCACTTTTTTAGATTAATCACTACATTGTCTTAAAAGTAAAAGTAATTCACCACTTTGAACCTCATCCATTCGTATTTAGTAGTATGCTAAAACAATGCTTTAGTCATAATTCATAATTCTATCTGATCCGGTAATATACAGAAGTAGTACTAGGTAGTTAATTTAGTACCACAGATCTTAATAAATTAATGATCATTAACTGCTTTTAGTATGCACTTTTTAGATACATTATCTTTACAATAAAATAACTCACTACTTTGGAACTCATACATTCGTATTTGTAGTATGCTAAAACAATGCCTTAGTCATAATTCACAATTCTATCTTATCCGATAATACTCGTATGTGTAAAAGTACTAAGTAGTTAATATAGTACCACAGATCTTGAGAAATTAATGATCATTAACTGCTTTTTAATGTGCACTTATTAGATAAACATTCTTTAACTCACCATTTTGGAACTCATCCATTCGTATTTAGTAGTATGCTAAAACAATGCCTTAGTCATAATTCATAATTCTATCTTATCCGGTAATATACAGAAGTAGTACTAGCTAGTTAATTTAGTACCACAGGTCTTAACAAATTAATGATCATTAACTGCTTTTTAATGTGCACTTATTAGATAAACATTCTTTAACTCACCATTTTGGAACTCATCCATTCGTATTTGGTAGTATGCTAAAACAATGCCTTAGTCATAATTCATAATTTTATCTTATCCGGTAACACTCGTGTGTACTAGCTAGTTAATTTAGTACCACAGATCTTAACAAATTAATGATCATTAACTGTTTTTTTTAATGCACTTTTTAGATACATTATCTTTACAATAAAAGTAATTCACTACTTTAGAACTCACCTCATTAGTATTTAGTTATGTGCCGCAAAAAAGCCTTATTCAAAATCTCCAATCCCACAATATCCGATAGTATCCAACTAAATAGTATACCCAGGTAGTACCACGTAGTACCCAGGCCGTATACACAGTAGACCAGTATGTTATACCTACTGATTGTTACTGAATATTCAATGTATGCTGACATAATTTGAAAATAAAAAATAAATATTATTTCTTTGTTTAATTTTGATGTCCTATTAAATTTGCAAATTGTTAAATTCAGAAATTCATGTAATATTTTTAGAGCTAGCTTCTAAATTAGACTTTATCAGTGAAGACAGAGTAAATTTTTTAATAAAAAAAATATTTAGCAATATGTACACAATTATTTCAGTTATGTATCAGAACTATATACAAAGAATTTAATTGATTAAAATAGGTACATAAAATTATAAAAATAAGCATTTAAGATAAAAAGTGTATGAAGTATTTATTAACCTTTACATAGTTTAATGGGGCGTTATTATAAGTGCAATAATGTAATTATTAGTAATTAGGTATATTGAGTTATTTTTATACATCCCAAAGATTATATACAAGAACAAAAAACATAAATTACATTAATAAAATAATACCACTGCATATATTATAAATAGATACGTAAAATAATATATAGAAAATACATAGATCCGTACAACCCTATTATATTTTATTTACGTTACATAGCATAGCGAATACAATATATGTACACTTGTATAAGTATATTTATATAATATTTCTTGTTTTATACATTTTAATAATAATACATTATAAATAATATAAATCAATTCAAAACAATCTCAGGATAACGGTATTTCTGTATGTGCGGGGATCGACCCCGCAATGATAAAAAATTGAGGCTTAG